GAGCACGAGCTTCAGAGTTTGGTCAGGCTGCCGACAGAGGCGGAGAGCTACAAGATCGGCAAGGTGTCAGAGGGCAAGAGGTATATATATATATATATATATATGTATACCTTTTGCCCTGAATTACAATAAAACAGCAGCTTATACGCGGAAAGGGATGAAATTCAGTGGTCGAGCAGTCCCGTCTCTTCAAAAAGTGACTCTAAAAGAGAACGAACCAACCAACCAACCAAAGAAAGAAAAAAAGAAAGAAATTCGTTTGCACAAGAGATTCAATAGGGGAGGAGAGAGACTATCATGCCTGTACATACAGTGGTACCTACCCTCTGTACTGCTCTGTCTTTTCTATTCTCCGCATCTCGTTCCAACCCCCTCCTGTACACCGGGGGCTTGGGCGTTCATTCCAAGCTCCGCGTTATTGCTCGCATGTCCCCTTCCCCCCCCCTCCCGTCGCGGAAACATAGCCCAGCGGGTCAACGATATCATTTCCCCTGTACCTTTCCTTCTGCTTTAGCTAGCGAAGAATAGCCCGTGCTACGATAAAAAGCCGAGCAAGAGTTTAAGCGGTGCGCTACACGCCAGCAACAGAGCGCACACTCGTTTGCCGATGCAGCCGCAGAAATAGATCTCTCTCTTTCTCCATGTATTTCCCGAATTTTCTCCGACCCGGGTGATCCGTTATTTCCTCCCCCACCCCTCTGTTTCTTCTTCCTTTCATTATTTCTTATCTCCACGATTCATCCGAGACTCTCGAGAGTTTGCCCCGCTCCTTTATTCCCTTTCGTCGTGTACACGACTCCCATCTCGGTGCACCCGACAATACGACAAACGCGCGTGTGTGTGCATGTTCCCCTTTTAATTGAATCGCCCCCGGTCCAGTCGCTCTTCTTCTTATTATTAATCGAAATTAATTTTCTTTGCGACGAGCGCGCCTATTGTGCCCCTACACGCCGTGGAGTCTCTCTCTCTCTCGTCTCATCCGGTCGAAAATTACAAACGCAAGACGGTTCCCGGGGTCGAGGTTAATGGAGTTTTTCCGAGGATATACGGATGGGGTCTTGGTGATTCGCAAAAACTGTATTTATGCACCTGCGGCGCTGCCGGTGCGATGAAAACTCTGTTCATTGTTGGGAAATTCAATTACGCTCGTGTACGTGTGGAGGGTCTCCTAGTAAATTTCGCCGTGTAATTTCGTTCGTCGGGCGAACGCGAATTAGATTATTCAAAGCCCCCTTTGATCGCGTTATTACACTTTGGAATTTGGAAAACAAACCAAGATTGGAATTCAACATTGATTGATATCGCGATGATGACGATGTCGACTCAAAAATGAAAAATCATAAACATGTACTTTCATTGAAATGAATTTCTAAGTATTTTCCACGGCTCTGCATGTATGTATTCACGTGTGTATTCCCTTGGTACGAAAACCCCTACGGATAATCATTTTATTTTCATGAGACGAAGCTATTGTTAAAAACCCAACAATGAGATACGCGTGTTCATGCGGGACATTTTTTTTTTTTTTTTATATATTCAGAACCCTTTCATCAATCGCTTGTAAAGAATTTCCATGGAACGGTATGGAAAAAAAGAGTGTCCCACTTCTCGCAAACATCGAGTTATCGAACGACGCATAAGCGATGCGTGCAACAACGAGGCTATACGCGGAAAATTAATAAGAGAGCCAATAGCGTGCAACAATATCGACGGAATGGGTATATGCATAGGAAGCGATGAGTCGTAAGCGCTAGGAGACATAAAACGCACGTTTTCCCGAGCTGTATCGAGAAGCGCGAATATTAGAAAATTTTCTTTCTCCCTTCTTTTTTCCCATGCCGGTGTAGCAAGAGTATAATGGCCGGGGCGCTGGAATGCGCAGAGTTGGAGAAAAGACCGACTATAAGGCCGACGTCGATTTGGAAGTTGCAGAGCGCCTGCAACGTCGACGCGGTAATGGCGCGTAAGGAAAAATTCCTCGGGAAAAAGTAGGCTAAGTTGTTTCGAATAAGCGTCGCAAAGGGGCTTTTCTTTCCCCCCCCCTCCCCCTGAGATGCGAGAGTTTTACGTTTCTCTTTTTTTTTCTTTTCGAGTTTAAACGATTTTTGGAGGGTCGATAAGGAAAAAGTTGGCGAACCAAGTTTCAATCGAATAACGAAAAAGTACAACGAAACGACGGGGGAAAGGAGTTGTCATGATCCACGAATTACAGAGTCACGCATTCGCGTGAAAGACGTGTTTTTGATATCGCGAATTCGAATGGGAAAATTCCAATGCAGGGCCACCGAGTGTAAACTCAATTTAAAACTTTGACCAAGGACGGGAAACTTGGAGAGAGGTTTTCCCTTTTGGAGGAAAATTCGTGTCCAATTTTAACGACATCAATTTTTCGCTAACGAAGAACTTGTTGAGTTTTTAAATCGATGAGCTTCTTTAAAAAAGTGCCAATTAGAAAAACCAAGAGGAAATTTTTTTCTACATCGTGNCGAGCCGGTTGTATTTTTAAAAGTGTCGAGCTCTCGGTGTTTTTCTATTTTTTAGCGCACGGGACACGGGCACAACCCGAAAGTATGTATTAATCGGTCTTACGTAAGCGTTGAAAAATACTCTTTTGTCGAGTCTTTGGCGACTATCAAATCGACAAGTGTCGTCCTACAACCATCTTTTTTACCCACTCTAAGGTTTGTAAACGTGTTTTCACTTAGCCGTTTAATCTAAGCACTCTTAAATTATTCTTTTTTTTTTTTTAACAATTGTTTGAACAGTTCTTGAAAAACAACTGTACCAAGGCAAGAAAAGTTTACGTATTGTACAGAGTCATCTTTTTTTTTTTATTTTTTTTTTTTTTTCATTACTTTTTTTGTTCAGCCGTGTATATGGGTAACTCGAGGTACACATCAAACACGCGTCATTCAAGAAATCGTACATAAGTATAGACATTGCATGGTGCACATTACCTGTGTACATGTTTGCGCGACACTATTGTTTTTTCCTCTCCATACAGTCACATCCTCCTCTGGCGTTTATTCTTCTCATTCCGCGCTGTATACGCACCGTTATTGCCACCGCAGGGCTCCGAATCGTGTATAACATACTCGATACTCACACCACACGTTTCACAATGATTGCATGTGTGCTTGCATGAGGCCTTTTTTTTTTTTTTTATTTGCACAGCCGATGACGAAGATTGCAAAACTGTCGCGACCGTATTACTTAGTAATCAAAGGTTTCATTGGCTTTATCTCTTTGTAAGAATCCATACCGAGGAACACGCGCCAATCATGTAAGCGCAATTACAACCGCGCGGTTGATTGTTGGATAAAAAAAAAATAAATAAATAAATAAACCAGCAACACCTATTCGTGACCTGTAAAACAAATAAAGATTCACTACATTCGAGATACATCGAGCAAGAGGAGGAGAATGACGCGCATGCCAGGGGACCCCGGTAAAAGTATAAATATATCTTTAGTCGGAATAAGAAATAACGATCTCGTAACAGCGGTATCGTAGTCCGGCGCTCTGCGGGAAGGTAAAGCTCGCACACCTGCAACGCCGTGTATACCATCCGCTGTCTCTCGGCTCTCGAGATCAATTTAAAATAATGAGGAGCCGAGATGAAGGAGAAAAAAGACCGACTCTCTCTCTTTTCCGTCATTCCTCGACACACACACACACACACACACAGGTTTCAAAGACTCCGAAAAAAAAGGCACGTCGCTCCTTACCCCGGGAATATCGATGAAATCTACTTTAATTACGGGGAAAAGACGCGGAAAAAGCCAAAGCGGATTGCAAATCACTCAGCGGAGCAAATCAATCTCTCGACGGCGTATATATGTATATATTGTATATATATATGGCGCACTCTCATTCGCTGTGACGAAGGCGCGAAAGTTTGCGTGGGTGGTACACGAACGGGGACTCGCCGGCTTATCGCGCTCCAGAGCTCTCTCCTTCGTCAATTAACTCTCGAAAATTGAATGCTAACCCCCTCCCCTCCCCCTGCCACCCACACCCAGTGTTCCTTGTTATCCTTTTTCGATGTAGTGTAGCAAGGCTTTTCACGTCATTCAAATAAAAGGGCACCCCCCAGGGGCTCACTTTGCATTCAAAGAAAACATCAACATTTACCACCTACTACTGCAACGCACCTCATTCCCACTCGATTCGCGAGTCGTACAAAAAAAAACCCCCCATACACCAAAGTATAGCTACATATATCTGTGCGTACGGGTTCGTGAAAATGTTGAGCGTACACCGCTTGACGTGCCTAATCCTCGCAGCCCCTGTCGCGTAGGAGCCTCGTACCATCCACAGTTGGGGAGGAAAAGAAAAAAGTAATCACTCATCCGAGGTTGAATGAGTTCTCCAAAGGGTAAATACTCCAAATGCGTGAAATACTCGCCTCGTAGATGTATTGCATTTAGAAATACACGCACTTCCTATTTACAGCGCGTGATATTTTTAACGACAAAAGAGAGGGATGGAAAAAAAGCACCAAAACGTTCGACAGAGGAAAAGCCGAAGGGGCAGGGGGGGGGGCGCGTACACCAACAAAAGATCCACAGGGCGCGCGTGCGCCCCTTATCGAGTCCAAGCGGAATGGAAAGAGGCGACGCCGGTGGGGCGATTTTCCCTTCGAGCGAAACAGCCCTGCGAACGCAGCGGAGATGGGAAAAGCGACAGAGAGAGTCTGCTATAGGGTCTACGGAAGGGTGAACGTACAGCCGCGCGCGCACGTACACGGCGGCGTCGAGTGGGAACCCGAGCAGAGTGGCAGTGGAGGCTCGTCTGCTCCGAGCGCAGTGTCGTTCGGTCACTTCCACGGGCAGGAGGTTGCACGTCCTTTATCCGCGTGAAAGCAACGCATTGACCCACGGGAAAAACAACAACAGCAGCAACAGCGTGTGTGTCGCCGATCGAGCGTCAGTGATGACTCGATAACGCTCGGGTTCGCGGTCGCCGGTGGAGATCGGTGAGGGTGGTGCTGTGCGAAGATGTGATTGATCGGGCGGGAGGGGAACCCTTTGCACGCCCTCGAGGAGCAAAAGTTCGGGAAGGTGAGGACACAACCTGCGAGGGCTCGAGATGTGGCTGGCGGTGCTGATGCTCGCCGCTATGGCGAGCGGCTCTGCGTACCGCTGCCCGGACTTCTGTCACTGCCAGTCGCCGAGGGTCGAGTGTCACGGCCACGCGCCCCAAGTAAGACAGTTCGATGAACTACCGGGGAACTTTACCGAACTGGCGATACGCGACGTCGCTGACTCCAAAGAGCTGGATCACGTGCAAAAGTCGAACTCGTCTTTTCTCAAGGATTTGCTGGTGCTCGAGATTACGAACATCACAAACTGGAGCGACCAATGCAAGGTGCCGTGGTACGCGAACCCTTTGAATGCTCCGAAAGAATTGGATTCCTTGGACGTTCGTCTATTGAACCTGTCGTACAACAGTTTGAAAAATTTTGGTCTCAACGGATGCGAGGTGAATTTTAGGAACGCATTGGAGGTCTTGGACCTGGGACACAATCAGATAGAAAAGGTGATTTTTCGAAGGGGGTCGACTGCCAAGAGACATTGGTCTTTAACATGGCTCAACCTTGCCCATAACGTAATAGACGACTGTGACGCAATGACCTTTGGAGGGCTTCAAAAACTGGTGTACTTGGATCTGTCGAATAATGACATCCATACGCTTCAAGAAGTTTTGGACCCCTTGGTTTCCCTGCAGCGGCTTTTTCTCAAGGATAACAAGTTGGAGCACATTGGTGTCGCTTGGTTTCAACAGCTCAAAAAGTTGGAGGAGCTCGACCTGTCCAAAAACAAGTTGGTCCTCATACCACCAGATGCGCTTAAGCCACTTACAAACCTCCTTATCCTCAAGTGGGACGATCCAGTGACGAAGACGAACTCGTCGATACCTCTCGATACCAAGACTCCAACGACCGCTACTTTCCCCACCGCAACTTCAACAGACACTTACAGGAGGCGTACAGGTGATATACAGTTTGATTCACGTTCGTCATCGGGAGTCGAAGCATTAAATTTTTCACACAACAGTTTAACGAGCTGTCCGTTCACTAAGGACACGCCAAATACTAAAATACGTGTTTTGGATCTGGGATACAATAAAATTTACTATTTGAATGAAATTAGTCTTCCAAAACTCCGGTGGATTAATTTTGCCAACAACCAAATAGACGAAATTCACTACGACACCTTCGAAAAGCTCAAGTCTCTAGAGTACTTGAATTTGTCGAATAACAAGCTGCATACGCTCAAGGGCATCCTCGATCCGCTGACCTCGCTGCAGCGCCTTTTTTTGTCAGGCAACAAGTTCGAACACATCGGATCCACTTGGTTCCAGAGTCTCACCAAATTGGTGGAGCTCGATGTATCGAGAAACAAACTGACCTTCATCCTGGCAGATCCTCTGCAAACCCTCACGAGCCTTTCGGTGCTCAATTTGGCCGAAAATCCATTGATAAAAAGGGACCTGTCGCTGTTGCTCAGCACAGGAAGGCGATTGGAAATCTTGGACGCGTCGAGGATAGGATTGGTCCGCGTTCCAGCGGCGCTCACTCACTCAATCAGGATGTTGAAACTAGCCGGAAATCAGCTGACGTCGATCGCCAGTGGGGATTTCGATAGTTACCCGCTTTTACGTGTACTCGACTTATCCGACAATCGCCTGGTCGGCATAGAAGAAGATGCGCTGGGACGGCTGGACAATTTGGAAGAACTCAACCTATCGGGCAATATCTTACCGACCATACCAAAGAGTCTTCCAAATGGCTTGAAGATACTGGACTTGAGCCAAAACGCTTTGTCCAACTTGAAAGTCAACGATTTGCAAAATCTACATCTACTAACGGAATTAAATTTAAGTGGCAACGTCATCACGGAAATTGAGGGCGGATTCTTCCGGCAACTAACCGCCCTCAATGTACTTGATATCTCCGACAATCCTTTCGTAAAACTGCCATCCGATACGCTTAACGGCCCGTCCAATCTGATGGTCCTTCGCATGTCGGGTCTTACATCGTTAAAGACCGAAGAGAATCAGAACCAAGATACAGCTTTTCCCTTCTTGACGCCTGAAAATCTTGTCAAACTGGACGTTTCGCGTAGTCCAGCCCTGGCGGCCCAGCTGTTGGCGGACAATGCAGCGTTGTCGGCGTGTAAGAGCCTTCAAGAACTGAACTTGGCTTATACGTCCATCAGTTCGATAAGATTCGACCTCGGGTACGTATTGCCTCAGCTGCAAAAATTGAATCTGATTGGAAACGACTGGAACTGCACCGACGATCAGCTTTGGCTGGGGGAATGGATCAGACAGCACGACGCTTCGCTCGAATGTTCCACGAGATGCAAGACTCCCTCGAAATTCGAAGGAAAATTATTGCAGCGCATAAATAAGCCTGTAATCTCGAGAAATACCACTACTGTTTCAACCAATGCCCCAAAATTAATAAGTACAACTCCCGGTAAGACGGATAGCTCGCCGCTTACTACTGCAATTCCGAAAGCAGCGAGCGAATCGACTGCGAAATTTATCACCACTACTTACATTACTACGACGCAATATCCTTTGAAAATTGAAAAGTCGCGAGGGGAAAACAAAACGGCAGTGCATACAACGCAAATCCTGCCATCGATCAAACGGAAGTCCCAAAGTCTAACAACTACAAATAATGAAAACGAATCCATAAATCTCTCCACGGTTGCGTACACCGCGGAGCACGCATCTAATGCCGAAAAATGGGAGCCAACGAAACTTTCGATACACAGTACAACGCAAACAAATGGAATAAAAAATAATGAAAACAAACGTCTAGATACGACGGAATCGATACTTGTATCTTCAACCATTGGTAACAAATCAAATAACAAGAAAGCTAAAAGTGATCACAGTACTGCACCCACGACACCCGAGGTGACCGATAAAACAACAACAACAACAATAACAGCACCATCAACTGTATCACCAACACCCGCACCATCAACTATATCACCAACGACTGTTACCACGGTAGGAACAAACTCAACCAGTGGAGGATTACTGATTATAGCCATACAAAAACAGTCAGGTAAACTCATGGAAAGCATGTCCGGCAAGCACAAAGAAGTTAAAGAGGATGCGGTGGTTATTCGCGAGATGGTCAAGAGGGTGAAGCCGCCCAGCCAGGATCAAGTGTTCTCCGAGTTCTCGCACTCGAAATTGCTGTTTGCAAACGAAGAGGCGCAGGAGTTGAACAGTCGAGTGACCGAGTCGGGCGCTCACACGTCGCCGGAGACGCTGGCAAGTGGCGCGCACCCCGGCATGCTAGTCCTGCTCGGGGCGTCGATGGTGGCCGCGGCCGCGCTTACGGTTGTCCTCTCGAGGCGCGCCGCAGTCAGCAGAAGAGAGAGGCAGTACCAGCGGCACGAGAACATCGAAGTGCATGCCCTCACCCCGACTACGGAGCTGTGGTGATCCAAAGGGGTGGACGAGGGTAATGATGAGGGCTACGACTTGGGAGCCAGATACTTTTGACTGATTCGTCTTGTGACTCTGTAGTGCGAGAATGTTGCCAAAAATCACACGATGACTAACGTAGCGGCTTTCCAAGGAATTCGACGGATGAGACGGTGACAATAATGATTAATACATGGAAGAGAAGAAAAAAGAAAAAGAAAATCGGACTCGAGATTTAGAATTGAGAAGTAATAAAAAAAGGAAAGTGAGTTTGGTGGAAGTAATTGGAGCGATAGGAGGAGAGATAAGTGAATTTTTGTAAAAAAAATAAAATCAAACGAAAAAAAATGTATGTAGCAGTAGAAGAAAATAAAGTGCAAGATTATCGTAAAAGACTGTGGAAGAAGAAAATGATAAGACACAGCTTCTTTTGTGCGCAAAAAAAAAAAATTATAATAAAAGAAAAAAAAAACGTGAAACGAACAAAGTTTTTCGCGTACAAAGAGGCAGTTGTAGATGATGAATAAGAATTTATAAAAAATCGTAGGTATAACAAGATGAAAAGAAAAAAGACGAAGCTATAGATATTATCTTTCGTAACGTAAGATAAACTGTGTCAAAAAAGATTACGATAACGATAATAAATAATGTACAAAGCAGAATAAAAGTCGAATATTATTCATTGACAATTTTATTGTTCTTTTTATTGTTACCATTTTTATCATCATAACTGATGATAAAAAAATCCATATTAGTTGATTCATGTGCGATTAATGTATACATAATTTTGTAAGATAACCTTCAATAAACTGTAGATACATGTTAAAATGTAATATAAAAAAAAATCTCATTGGTATTCGATTTATTATTTTTTATACTTAATGAAAAGTGGATACATCCACGTAGTCATTATGTTAATTGCCAAACATTATGATGTTTCTAACCAAACATTCGTTCTCCAAATTATATACATAAGATACATATATATAATATATTTGTTAAGCGGATATTTACTATTTTGAAAATAAATTTAATTGACACAACAACTGTTCTTTTTATTACTTCCCCAGCAATAAAATGGCATATTAGATTATATTTTTTAATCCTACTACTTTACCAATTTTAATAATTGAAAAAAAATTTTTTAAATTAAAAAAAAAAAAGAATTCAGTTGACGTATCAATAAACTTTTTAATGATACAAAATAAATTTATAATTCTTCCTCTTTCACAGCTTGGTACTCTTATTTTCATGTGTATACGTAATGCAGCCGCATCATTAGCACGTATTAGCATGCGAGTAAGTCTCAGAACAAGCAAGCTTCTTCTGCTTTTCATGAATATTAATTTACAAAAAAAGGAAGCTCACGCTGAAGGAAGAAGAAGAGACCTAACAGCAAAACTTTACCGTCGAGGGTCTGCGCCGTAATTCCATCGACCGCGTTATATATGTATATAATATACTACGCTGGCCGTTCTCACCACTACGAAATCCTCCTACAGGTCTACAAAGACGCCGACCGCTGCTGCCCCGTTCGTCTCTAGGGGCCTGCACGATCCAACTCCTCATCTTTCCTTCTCCCTTGCTTCGCTTTTTCCGTTTTTCTTATCTCCCTCTTATTCTTACTTTTTCTGTCTTACACTATTGTACGCCCGACGTTCTTCTCCTACTGACCTACCTTCAGTTATTTTATTTTTTCTTGCCATCCTGGGACACATATTTTGAATTTCGTTTGGCTATGTAAATAAAAGAAACTCCTTTTCGACCGTTTACTCTCGTTGAACGTAACGTCAACAATATTTCCCGTTATTTTTGAAAGAATCTACTCTAAAATTTTGCATTTATCCAATATTTATTTCCATAACTACAGAAAATAATTAGCCGAAAATATTTAACAAAATCAAATAACGCACGTCTGACCAAAGAAAAATATCACCACTTATATTTAAAATTAATCTTTGCTCGAAAGAAAATGAGAAAATTTAACAAAGCTAAATAATATAAGTCTTAAACTTTAAATCCCCGCAACTGTTGTACGTGAGGATAATGTACGTGATCATTGCTTGAGGAAAACTAAATGTCCGAAATAATTAAAGAAAACTAAATATTGCATGTCTGACAAAAGCACGATAATACTACTTATACTAAAAATTAATCCCAAGGAAAAATACTTGGCAAAAAAATTCAACTAAACTAAATCATGCATGTCTGACCGAATTGGGATACAACTACTAATATTCAAGAATTAATCTTTGTTCCAGGAAATAATTATCATTATACAAAAAAATTTAAGGCAACTAAATGATTCATGTCTGATGAAAGCTCGATAATACTACTTATACTTAAAATTAATCCTTGCTCAAACTTTGAGGGGGATGAATTAAACACGATAATAACACCATTAGTTATTTAAACGAAAGTTCACGGCTGACCAAAGCTTGTTGATACCACTTGAAATAGAAGGTCTTAATAAATGACGAAGCAACGTATACGTACAGCGATCCAGCGAGAGTTTCGCAACATTGAGCAATTACCGACCAAGGCTTTGTGTGCAAGTTGGCACGTGCATGCTTCAAAGGGGGCCGGCACAGTTCCTGACAAGGTGGCATCAATCCCTGCTGAATAAATAAATCCCTTCGCTCGTACCCCCAAGCCGGAGCCTGCGAGTTTTATTTATAAAGCCCTAAGCCGGCATCTCGACCTGTGCGAACACTTTGTACCGGGCACCGTCACCACCACCGCGTATATCCCTCGACTTTTTCCTCCTCAGCTGTTTTGCATGGCCTCTTTGGTCTCCTCTGCCGCGGCGGCACTACTCGAGCGAACAAATCGCTGTGAAAGTTTAACGAGGCCAGGAATAGCGGGACAGCAGCGAGTCGATCGATAGGCAAAGCCGAGCTGGAAGACGCTGCGTTGCTCAGGCCCTACTCAAAATGAAGATAAGCCGCAGGTGACAAAGGAGGAGAAAAACGAGATCAAGGTATTTTGAAAGCAGTCTGATGGTTGATGATTCTCGAGTATATGGACTTTAAAGGTAAGTTAGTAACGTTGAGCTCAACATAAATTTTTTCGTTACATATAATTTACATAAATAGTGATATGCAGTTCATTACTTATAGTAAAAGGGAAGTAGGGTAGAGTTCGGAATACAAGCCATGATAATAAACATGGATGATTTTTTGTCCAATTTTGAAACGATGAATCAATAACAAGCAGGGTTGAATACCTGACAAAAAGGGTAACACTGGAGGGATAGGGTGGCGCGATAAGAATAAATGTAATTTTCTTCAGTCATCTGAGAATTCAATCAACGGACACAGCGACAAGGGATGAGATGGAGGTGGGGGGAGGGCCAAGGGATCATTGATCTTATTGGCTCGGAGATTGTGAAAATAGAAAGCGCCGAATATACACCGGGGCGCGGTTAACGTAATCGCATTTCCCACTGAATTTTACAGTTAACTCCCCGAACCCTCTTTTTCCACCTCGGCGAAAACAACACTCGCGAGAGCGCGCGCCTCTTTGCAATTTGCATAAAAAGCAGAGTGTGCTAGACTACAGACTAGCTGATCCGATAAACCGTGCGGTGTTCCCTGGCTCCTTTGATACCTACACGCACATACACTACATGTCCTGGATAAAATGGTAATTGGTTATCAAACCCGACACGCGTACCCTCTTCTGTTTAGCAGGCTATTTTTTTTTCCTTTTTCGTTCACCCCTTTATACGCACCCTCTCGCACTTCATTTGATCGGCCGCAGTGAGTGGCATTGTTATACCCTTCGTAAATTGCAGTCGGCCTTAACGATGGCCCTTCTTTTTACCACCCTCCGCTTACGTACACGGGTATTGGGGATTTCGTTGGGAAAAAGGGTTCCCAGGATTTACGGAAAAATGAAGTGCATTATCAAGCCCAACGAGTCATTTTCAAAAGCACGGGGACTCTGATGAATTTTTAACGACGTTGTAACGCACAGAAGCGAAATTTAACAGAGTCACTTAATAAGCTAATGCGATTCTCGTGATAGGAAAAAAAATGGGAGAGGGGATACATTTTTCCCGGGAGATTTTTATCAAACGAGTAAAAAAAAAAAAATCACCTTGAGAGAGAGAGAGAGAGATTTTGTCTTTATCTGAAACAAGTCGGGTTATCTTTAAAATAGTATTATAAATCCCGAGTTCTTTCGAGCGCTACTCTTTCTCCCGACCTGAACTTTCGTATAAAAATGTCTCGGAATTTTACTACGCCTTCCGCTCGCTCGCCCTCCCGTTTTGCCCGGCTGCACTGTCTCGAGTAACAGACGGCACGTAATCTCGGAATAAAACCGTCGAAATGGAAATTCATACCAGAGCAGTGAGTGTCCCATTTAACTTTGCCAAGGACCAGACGAAGGTTTTTCGAAACCTCGTCGATCGCTGCGCGTACGCGGTACACAATCATAGAGAAAACATCGTCCGAGACATCATGATAAAATCCTATTAACGGCGCATCGAGCGCAACTTTAAAAGTGCCCGTAGACGACAGCACCTCCCAGCGCATGTAATTACAAGTGTGAAACGTGTGCGACAGGCTTGTGCGTAGCAGAGCCGCCGAGGAAAGACTCGAGGAACATTTTGCCGTGGAGAAAACGTCGTGCGTATGGTTTAAGTACCCCCCGCAGGCGAGGCACGGCTCAATGCAATATGAACGACACGCCGTCTGCGCCGCTCTCCTCCTCCTCCTCGTCATTTACATATCTGTATTATTCAGCCGGGAACTGTTATTCAATTTCTAAGGGAAGGCAGGCAAGGCGGCCGGCCGCAAACGCCTTGTTATTTCGCCCCCGAGACGGTCCACAATTGCCCCCGTCGAGGTAATAAGGTTGTACGCGGCCTTGACTCGAGCGTTAAATAAACTTTGAAACTCTATCGGTGCGTGGGAGGGGTATGACGAGTCCGACATGAGGGATTTCTATTTCAAAGACGTCGGTGAGATTTGTTTTGCTGAGCCGGTCGCACGAGCTGATTACAGAGATTTGAAAAGTTTTATTGGATTGGCACGTGTTTTTTTTTTTTTTTTCTTTCCTCTCTACTGCGAACGAATCGTCGGAGGATTTGGGCTCGATGGGTGAAAAACTTTGACGCGCGGGATTCGATTTGAGCGATAAACTTGCCCCCTGAGGGAAAAACCATTTTAATAAAACCTGATGAGCTAGCTCTAGTTTAATTTGAGCGCTCTATTGAATTTCAGACGCTTCTTTGTCTCCAGTTTTAAAGGACAAGCAGGAAAAGAGGGAGGAGGGATAAGCCTGTGTATTTTGTTTGACATTCTCATTTACCTAAACTTTTTGTTGTGAATTTACTTTTAAAGTATGATGTACTCAGGGGTAAGGGGGATTGTTCTTTTGATACTGATGGAGGTGAAATTCGCAAGCTCTACAATTTTTGGATCATAATTTTTTAAGTCAATTGTGTGCTTTTTGAAGAAGAAAAAAAAAGTTTCAAGTGCTCTACAACAGATTTTAAAGCGGCTTAAAAGTTCGGGCAATAATTAAGAAGTGATGAAAGGTTGGTTTTTGAAAAACCGAGTTAGTCAAGTGTTAAAAATCAATCGAGATCAGAGCCGAAGTTTACAACACAATTTCAAGTACGCGCAGGAAAGAGAAACAAAGAGAATGAGGCGCACGTCCGATTGAGCTCGAATTGAATTTGGGTGCTAGAAATTGGTATTTTATTATCGAAATGGAAAAACCAAGTCGTCCAATAATTATAACCATTACTGCCACCCAAGCGATCGAACTTGCAGCAAAAAGTCGAGAGAAGTACCTAATTAAATAGCTTATCTCTCGTGGAAGATAGTACGAGTCTCTGAAAATAGAAGCAGCGAGCGTTCGTTTAATTGTGTACTAATGCACTTAGTAGTGACGCAGAAATCGATTCGTACAACGCGACAAACAAAGAAAAAAAAAAAAAAATCTCAGCGCAAATAGATTTCTAATGTCCGACCTGACTCGGAATAATTCAAGTGGTACGCTTGTACGTCGTATTGAAATGAAGACATGGCAAGGGAATGGATTGAAAGAAGAGGCTTACAACCGTTGCTGCGAACGATAATGGGGAAGAAAGAGCAGAACTTTGGTTTTCTCAAGTTTTCTCGCGCAAGAGTGGAGGGTCGCTCGAGCGCGCTAAACTGGCACGATTTCATGGGATTTAGACTTCAATCATAACTTTATTAACGAGCAGTAAAGCACCCTCCCGAGTTTCCTCCTCTCCATTCTACCCCTTTTCAGCTATATACGTATAATATACGTACGTATACGTACGAATAAAGGGAGTGGAAGAGCTCGTGCTCGTTTGATGCTAAACTACCCCGCACGAGCCATTTGTATACTTAATAACGCTTTGGATGAATCCGAAGGTTGGAAGCCGCGAGCGAGAGAGCACTCGAGCCCTGTGTTTGGTCGTCCCCTTAGTAATTTTTTTTTTTTTTTTTTTTTTTTTTTTTTTTTTTTTTTT